GCCGGTGTTACCCTGCAAAGTAATTCATAAGTGGCTGATTATAGCACTCATAAAATATAGCTGAGAATGATTTACATGCTGGAGGCTATGTGTGAGCAGACCAGCAGTGGTTGCTCTCACAGCGAAGCAATGTAAGAGGCACCCAAGGTAAGAGGCACCCATCAGTCCAGCACCCTGGGGAATGTCACAGCCTTAAAACACTGTTCTGGAATTTCAGTCACTTCCTCAGCTTGCTTTCTTAGTCGTCTGAGCCCAGTTTAGCATAGGGTTGGCACTTGGAACTCAGAACCTGGCTGTACACAGTAGATCAAAGCTTCCACAATCTCACTTCCTGATGGCCGTATAGACATACCCATCACTTAGGTGCTTTTGAAAATTGTACTCTTAAATTCCTAAGTGACAGAAAATGACAGTGCTAGACTAGAAATATTATGCTGATTAAGACAATTTTATCTTTAAATTCTCTAGACTGTATACATTTAAACTTGGAAGCTTTGTAATTGAACTATTATGTATATGCAGTGCCTAGCACAAAGGGGGACTTGATCCCAGATGGGGCCTCTCGATGCTATTGTAATATGACTAATAATAAAATAGGGATAAATAATGCTGAAAAATTGACTGAAGTAATCATACTTGGAGAAAAACTGTGGAAATAAGCCACGATCTAAACAAATAAAAATTAAAAATTGAGTAGTAGCTATAATTCTCTATGCCTTATGCCCCTTGTAGTCTCAAGAAAGAAAAAACTCTATGGTTGAAAACAGAGGATTGGATCTCTGAGGAAACCTAAAAAAGGCTGCATTACTTTCATTTATAATAGAAGAAATATAATGGACAGGAAAGAAGAGATTTTATGTCACTAGAGGTACAGTAAGAGCAGCAAAAGGCAAGCAGAGCAAATGTAATAAGTCACAGAACAAGTTATTTAATATGAATTTATTGGGGGAAAATACAGCTTTGTTAGGCAGTGTAAATATAAATGAAATACTAGCTATGGGGTGCTGGGAAAAGGAACGTTGTACTTCATTTTTAAAAGAATCAATGAAAATTGCTGTTGAAAGGGCAGTTAGGATTTATTCATAGTATGTCTATATGTCTGATCAAACTGGGATATACTGGGCCTGACTGTTGTCCTCTGTTACAGGAGTAATTATTGACTTGACTGAAGTTACTCCTGCTTTATGCCAGGGTAATGAGAGCCGAATCAAGCCTCTGCTTTTTACACTAAATATCCAAATCCTTATTTTTTGCTTTAGTGTCTTTTTCTGGAGGAAAAATAAAACGGATTTCATTAAAGCAGAGTCAACAGAAAACAGTTTTACAAAAGAATCTGCTTTATAATTTACTTTAAACAACATTTCTTTTAAGGATAGGATGTAGGTGGCTGTGTTTAGTATCTCGAACTGCTGAAGAGAAACAATTACATCTGAAGAGACTATTCAGAATGATTTTACAATGTCATACTAATTATCTAACTTCTGCAGCTTTCAGTATAAAACAAGCTCTACTGTGATAATAAAGTTAGTTAACTCGTTGCTTTAACAAAATGAATACTTATGCTTCTATCCTTTATTAAACAGAAATTTAGCCACATTAGAAATTATTCCCTCCCTATTGTGAAAAACATTAGTATTTAACAGGGCTGAAATCAATAGGGCTGTGTGGAAATGAAATAAGATTCTGTAGGAAGTTCTCTATAGAAAGTGTGCCACTCTGTTTTTATCCGTTTTATGAATCATCCTATAGAATTCTATAGCAATTATATAATTCTGTATAAAATTCTATAGGGTGCTTTTGAAAACTAATTACAAAAATGTCACTATTTTATCTCATCCTATAGGACTTTTGCATACACTCCTGAACACTAGGTAAATTGAAGAGTCTGATCTAAAGTCTGTGTCTCTTGCCCATCTCCAGCATTAAACTATATAAGCGAAGGAACATCAGAGTTTTCTCTGCTGTTTTAAATCAGGATTGGAAGGCAATACACTCAAGACTCTCAGTAAGAAAGGGACGGTGTAGCAGATTGGAGAAGAGAGGTAAAGGAAAAAGGGAAGAAAATAATTCAGACCAGAGACAGAAGGAAGGGGAAAGGTGAAAACATGGTATGAGGATAAAAAGGCAGAGCAAAAAGGGCAGCTCAAGCAGGATAAGGAATGAAGAAATCAAATAGGTGAAAGGACGTACAGTTTGATTTTTTTCTGTTTTATTATGCTCCCCTGTTGTAAAATCAGAACGGGTTTGGTTTATTTTATTTTAATTTTTTTAAGCCTGTCGGTATGCAAACAGATGCAACCCTTTGCTTCTGGAAAGGTGCGGATGACCTTGATTCAGCATAGTTTTGGGACCCCTCTTTAGTCCTTTTGGGGGTACCTTAGGTGTAGCTGAGGAAGCTTCACCTTAGGAGCATTGCATTTCACTTCCAAAGGTCGCATTATGCCCAGCTTGAACCCAACAAGAAGATTGCCAATGTGAAAATATGTAAATGTCAGAGCAGTTTTAAAGAGCCCCACAGTATCAGAAAGGGAATAAACGTCATCAAAGGTCAGTCGCTCACATACAGTGAATGTCTCTTTGTAGAAAGCAGTAGTCTGGGCTCAGTGCTGCCATGTTTACTTATGCTGTGTGGTAGTTGAGCAGGCACAGAGTGAGGCACTCCACAACAGTGGGTTTTATCTAGTCCCCTTTTTCTATAAGATAAGGTGGGGATGCATGGGCTGATTTATAATATTTTGCACCCTCTTTGTAGTTGCGTTCCTTGCTATACCTCCTCCACCCTGCTCTGGTCTCCTGGCCTATCATGAGAGGTGCACCCTTTTTATATGCCTAATGGACACAGGTTACCCTTCTTCCCCACTTCTCATAAAGTTGGATACATGATATTGTGGAACAATTGCTAAGTATACAGAGGGGGACACTTTCAAAGGCGCTCAATGTTGACCTAACTCTGGTCTCTTTGAAGGTAATGATAAAATTCCCATTGCCTTAACCTGGGAGAACTAGGCTCTTTTAGGTAAGTTTTAGCCCATATATATATTTTAAGGTCGGAAGGGACCATTGTGACTAGCTAGTCTGATCTCCTGCATGACACAGATCATAGAATTTTGCCCACTATATTCTTGCATCAACCTCAGTTAGCTGCCCTCCTCACTTAAGCAAAATTCCTTTTAAAATCAGTGAGACTGTTGCTCCGCCATGCTCTTTTGAATCAGGCTTTAAATCCTTGTCTACAAAGAAGAGTTGTATTATTTATACTGATGTATTATATACATATGGTTATATCAGTATTGTAGCCTGATATGGGGGGAGGGCTAGCTCAGTGGTTTGAGCATTGGCCTGCTAAACCCAGGGTTGTGAGTTCAATCCTTGAGGGGGCCACTTAGGGATCTGGGGTAAAATCAGTACTTGGTCCTGCTAGTGAAGGCAGGGGGCTAGACTCAATGACCTTTCAAGGTCCCTTCCAGTTCTAGGAGATAAGATATCTCCATTAATTTATTTATCTATAGATTATATATTAATTATATTGATTACTTAAGAATTCACAATAATCACACTGAGGTTTGGCAGATTCTTGTCCGAAGATCAGTCCCAGTGTTATTAAAACTACTGTTCAGTTGGGAACCCCGACATGCACAGTTGCAACATTCACACTTTAAGAACCCTTCTGCATTTACAGTAGTTTATTAATACATTTAGCAAAGTTACAATCACTCTAACCCAGAAAGATATTTAGAAATAATACTGCATGTACATCTGAACATCCATCTACAAAGTTCATAGGCCTCAATCCTTATGCTAACTGCTGAAGCCAGTGTCTTACAGGCTAAAGCTCTAAATGCCCCATGGGCTACAGTGTAACTCTTCTGTGTGGGGACACTTACACTGGAATAAATGTCCACACGGGGTTGCAGGGGCATAAATAGTCTGGTTTAAATTCACACCTTAGGTTATACTGAAAAACTTTTCTGTTTAGGCAAAGGATTATCCTCATATAAAGGGACTTATACTAAAAGTTCATTAGGTCTCTTGGGTATATTCTTTCAGTAATGAATGCCTCCTAATATAACAAAACCCTAACACTTGAAAACAACATTCAGGCTCAATAGAAAGCAAAAAGGTCTTGCCGTTAACATTGTCTATGACTTTGCTAATGGAGGGAGTTTAAATTTTAATAAAAGAAAATGAAACATAATTAGGAAATCCATCCCATTTTGATGTCTGCTTTGTATTACTCAGTACATAAATATTTTAATAATTTGCTTTAGTCCAACTTCTCCCATACACATTATCTCCAGTGTTGTGACATTGTTCTTCTGATTCCCTGTTCTCTTGGAACTCGTTGGGAATATAGTTCTAAGAATTATGTTAAATTTGCACTCTTTCTTTTGATAGCTGCACTGAAAGGATCACTACATGCACACCTATGGATTTCTAATTAGCTGCGTGCAAAGAGGTATAATGTCCATTTGCAAAGGCAGGGCAAGTGCTATAAGGTATTTTAATACTAGGGCAGGTCAATCAAATTATAATTAACTCCTAATTAGCACTCACAGAAGCTCTAACTTTTAAAAAAAACTTTCACCCAGGTGGCACTCAGAAAGGTGAAAAGTTGTTTGCTGCCTGCAAAACATATTTGAAGCAGTGGATATAAGGTTTCCTGCCTCTGACTGTTTGGGAGCTGTGGGAGGTGACAGGGTAGAGAAATACTGGTGTATTTCTATATAAATTGTCCCAGGTAAAATGGCCAATCCTTCCTAGTTGAGGCATAACTAACTACACCCTGATACCAGTATTTGCGAGAATATCGTACCTGCCAGTAAGAAGCCCACTTCTTGTGCTATCAGGCAGACTGTGTGTATTACATTCCTATTTCTTCTTTTTTTTAAACACAAATTAGAACTGTCATTTGCTTGGATCTTCAATAAATATCCATCATTTGTACAAGAGGACAGTCGCCGATTTGTATCTCAAGAGACCGGGCATCTCTACATAGCTAAAGTGGAGCCATCAGATGTAGGAAATTACACCTGTGTTGTGACCAGCACTGTAACAAACACCAGAATTCTCGGTTCACCAACCCCTCTAGTGCTACGCACAGATGGTATGACTTCAATCTGAAACTGTATATTGATTAAAACTGCTATCTACATACACATAGTATCTGGTGCATGCATTTTTCAGATGTAGAGTAATCTTTCATGCATATCAAGAAAAGTAGTTTCTAATCAAAAGATTCATGCTGACTTTGACTACTGTACACTTAAATTATTTGTCTCATGGGAAGAAAATCCCGAGGCCCACAAGTTTTTTTTAAAAGTGTGCATTTGATCAGACGAGATGGATATGTTGAACCTAACTTGTTGTAATGCTAAAGAAAAAGACAGAGCTATACAAATAAAAACTACTGATCTTTTGTTCTTCTCATAATTAACAGGTGTTATGGGTGAATATGAACCCAAAATAGAAGTTCAGTTTCCTGAGACACTTCCTGCAGCTAAAGGTTCAACAGTGAAACTGGAATGTTTTGCCCTAGGAAAGTAAGTTCTTATACGCTTTATTAAAATTAAAAACATGTATATAGGCAACATAGCAATTTAAATGAGACTTCAAGTTACCTTGAATAAAATCAACATGATGTTATACTGATATTTATTCAAACCATCTATGGCATGCGAACACACACAGAATTCTCATTGTACTGTTAACTGATGCTGTCATAATACTTCTTTTCTTTGACATTGTAAATATCCATAAAAACAGTTTCTTAGCACATCATCGTAGTTCTTTCCTCTTATCCAAACTTAGTCTCTTCTGCTCTTCACAAAAGACTTCACACAGTCTTAATTTCTGCAGATGTATTTGCCAGTTATTCTATGGGTTATTTGACGAGAGCTTTGCCAAGTATTCATGATTTAGGGTGTGAAATTGGCAACCTAAATCACATAGTACTGCTTGTACTTATTCACTAGGTGACTGAAATTTTTAAAATCAAAGAATTAATGAACAGCAATTGAAGAATGCAAATTTCAAAATTGATTAGCCTCATCCTATCTTTCTTCCCATGGAAGTCAATCATAAAACTGCCTTTGACTTTACTGGGAAACCAACACTAAGATTTTTTGAAAATCCTATCCTAAAGTATTTCTGTAATGAAACCACTGGGATTTGTAGAAAGTTTTACAAACACGAAACAGTCATCCAAATTGTTGTGAATAATGGACAATCTGCCAACACAAATAATAGTGAACCAAACACAATGCATATATTTGCAAATCAGTTTCTTCAGTGTTCCACCATCTCTAATATATGATAAAATTGACTACAAACCTTTTTTCTTTAGTCAGTTTTGAGGTTATAATTTCATATTATGTATATAATGTTGCCAAATGAGTGTTTTTAAGCAAACTTTTTAAAAGTAACTAATCCCATAACTTTCTTTTTAGCCCGGTGCCTCAGATAAACTGGAGAAGAACTGATGGCCTACCATTTCCAAGTAAAGTAAAGTTGAGGAAATCCAATGGCATGATTGAAATTCCAAATTTCCAGCAGGAGGATGCAGGCCTCTATGAGTGCATTACTGAAAACTCAAGAGGGAAAAACATTGCAAGAGGACGTCTCACCTATTATGGTAGGAACCTTTCATCATTACAAAATAAGAGGCAATTTACGTAGGACAGACTATGGATACATGGTTTAATACAGTATCCTAGAATTCCTGCAGTTGAGAAGAAGAGAATCTCCACATCCAGTTTTGAAGGGGTTTTTTTTTTCCGCTTAAACAGGCTTTATTCCAAGAGAAACAATCTTTAAAGCTTCAAAAATAGGAAATGAGGGCTTTCTCCTGCTAAGAACAGTCCATGTTCAAGAGCACTCCTGGAAGTGGTATGGGAAGAACTATATTTAATGAATTGGCTGTTGCAACAGAATAGTTAGTTACCTAAAGCGCTCTTTTTTTTTTTTATACCGTCATTGATGAATAGGTCAAAGCTTTCCAATGGCCATAATTGTTTTGCATACTACATGTGGAAGCCAGACTTCCGTTTAAACAAATAAGCTGATTTTTTGAGGATCCTTTTGGGATTATCAAATCCTATTTACAGGAAAATTAAATTCCCTCTTGGTTTAGAAAAAATGATTCCCCAATACTCTCAAATCCTTTGCGTTCGAAAGGACCAATTAGGCTTTAAGATGAATAAATAAATTAGGGAATGTAATCTAACTTAGAAAATGAAGAAACGTGGAATTGAATAGCTGGAGAACAGCTACAGTCTCTTGTGCATTTAAAACTATACAGCCTATTGAATATCAACAATGCATATTGGTGTTTTCTTAATGGTAAAGTGATTTACAGGCAAACTGGCAATTGACAATTTTTGTAAAAGTCACATCTCAGCAAATGTAATTTTCCTTAGGAGTAGCAATTAAACGAATGTTTCACTGTATGCTATGAAGTGTTTACTTCATGTAAGATTATTTTAACAAAGATACAAAAGTTGTATATACAAGGTTAGAATGTAGACTCAAAGAAGATCACAGAAATATTCTTTTCAGATGTTTATGCTTTGATACAGCACACAAAGCGCTACAGCATAGATTTCCTGAATTTTGATTCAATTTATATAAAGGTGGTTTCACAAATAAGTGGAAAGGCAAATTTTCCTCCGTGTGCAATTAAATGAAAAAGGATAGACTGATTGTCCATGTGCATGTTGCATTTATGAATCCTACAATAAACATTTATATATATATATATATATGAAAATACAGTACAAAATGGCTAGGATTTATCATCTACCGTGTTTCCCCGAAAATAAGACAGTGTCTTATATTAATTTTTGCTCCCAAAGATGCGCTAGGTCTTATTTTCAGGGGAGGTCTTATTTTTCCTGGAGCTTCGGGGCCTTATATTCCGGGGTGACCTTATTATCGGGGAGGTCTTATTTTCGGGGGATGCCTTATATTACAGCAAGAGGCAAAACTGGAAGTAGGTCTTATTTTCGGGGGATGTCTTACTTTCGGGGAAACAGGGTATGCACTGCTTTTTATAGAGTGACTTTCATTAGCAACTTGCAAAGTCTTAAGTAAGTAACAGTACATCCATCGAGTTTGTCACTTGGTTACAGCAGTTTTACGACAGTGTAATAAACGCATTGATTTATGAGCCACACCACCACAAACCTGGTGTAACACACTGGTTCTAGACAACTGATTTATTGGTTACTTGGCATAATTTAACCTATAGGACACTGTTTTCTATGTTGCATTTGGGTTCCTAGAGGACACCATGCCTGAATCAAAGAAAGTTTCTGCACAAGAGATGGCACGACTGGGTTGGGGCTACTGAGAACAGAGAGTCCTGACCTGCCTCTGACCTTAGAACCATAAAAGGATGAAAATAACAGGAGTACTTGTGGCACCTTAGAGACTAACAAATTTATTAGAGCATAAGCTTTCGTGGGCTACAACCCACTTCTTCGGATGCATATAGAGTGAAATATATTGAGGAGATATATATACACACATACAGAGAGCATGAACAGGTGGGAGTTGTCTTACCAACTCTGAGAGGCCAATTAAGTAAGAGAAAAAAAAAAAACTTTTGAAGTGATAATCAAGATAGCCCAGTACAGACAGTTTGATAAGAAGCAAGTATGAGAATACTTACAAGGGGAGATAGAATCTATACGGATACAGACTAACACGGCTGCTACTCTGAAACCTGTCATAAAAGGATGAAAATGCTCACTGCAAACTGTGTATCCACATGGGAATTGGAACTGTCTCAGAGTTAGTATTCAGCTACAGTGTTGGGGATAGGTTCATCCTTATTATTGATGGTTAAGACAAAAACAACTACTATACATATTATAATGGTACAAAAGTTGTACAAGTTGATTCATTTGTTCTGCTTAGTGAAATCCATACCACAGAATCAAATAGTCTTCACCTGGTCTTTCTACTTTGATACTTGCTCTGTTGACATAAGTTGCAAACCAACCAGTCTATATTAAGGAAAGCATATTTGTATAATTTTTTTCTTTTGGCAGCTGGGGGATTGTTTGTAGATTAATACTGTTCTGTAACTGAAGATGCTGTCTTCATGTGACTCTAATATTTACTTGTCACTGACTGTGATATCACAGCTCAGAAATCTTTCTGGTAAAGAAATGTAAGCTTAAAGTATATGCAATTTAATCATCCAGTAAACTCCTGTGTCAATTATTCTGGAGTGCCTGAAGAAGTTATTCTGAGAACCACAGGGTGAGAAATTTAGTTAAAACTAATGCAATATATTAAGGGTTCAGCCATCTGCTAGAAAGCACCAACTCTGGTAAAATACAATTATAAGGCACGGTGGTGATACTAGTGCAGGTTGGCTGGTGTGTCAAGGTTTTATGAGTCTGAGATGCTTCTGTTACTCATATGTGGTGAAATATGCACATAACTAATGAAGAATCTAATATGATTCACCAAGGCAGGGGAGGAGGGAGTATATCTTCCTCTCACACAATCACCACACTATCCTGCCCACTTTCCTCATCAAGAAGTTTGATGTTTTTACTAATTATGGCCCTCATTCAGCAAAGCACTTAGTCTTGAGTTTGACTTTAAGCATGTGCTTAATTCTCATTGACAAATCGGATTTAGGGACATGCTTGAAGTTAATGAGGTGCTTAAGTACTTTGCTGAATAAGGTTGGACTGGGGCTTAAAGTTAAGTATAGTCTAAGTGTTTTTCTGAGTCTGGGCCTATTTTATCTGTAAATACTATTTTGGAAGGGTGAGCGTATTTCCTTGTGCTTGTTAAAAATCCCACGCACACCAGTGGCACTGTATAAATAATGGAGCAGGTGTTGTTATTCTAATTCAGCACTCATACTTTTGACACTTTTCTGAAGTTGTTAATTACGATAGATATCTAAAACAAATATTCTTGACTCTTTCATAATGTCACTAAGATCATATTAATCCTCTTAATTATTTCTCTCCTGAAGGAGTTTATTAGGGGATGATCCAACGTCAAGTTAACAACTTATTTTTCTTTCCACAGTTCTAACATGTTTAATACCTGATTTTTCCACATTACAGTCCTCATCTTTTAAAAATTGAAAACCTGGGTCAGATATTGCTCTAATTTATTATATCATCATGACATAGATAGATTGCTCTCACCTTCAGTATTGTGCTCCATTACGATACCCCCATCCCATAAAAGATAGAGGAAACTCAGTGAAGATGTTTGGAAACATAGAGATGCTTCCAAATGAGGAGAGGTGAAAAAGATTACCTGTATATAGTTTAGAGATAAATAAGAGGTGACAAGATAAAAGTACCTAAAATAACTATAGATGTCTGTGAACGCCTATTTACTCCATCTCTTCATGCAAAGAAAGTCACAAAATAAAATTAGTAGCCAACACATTTTAAAATGATCAAAGGAAATGCATTTTTAAACACAGAATGACCCTGCAAAACTCAACTGATTCAACTATTATTGAGGCAAAGAGCTTAATGGAGGGGCACAATTCCTTCCCTTTTCCTTTCTTGCTCCTTAGGTTAGTCATTTTTCTGCTGGTCTATAATAGCAATACATTACTATTGTGCTGGCCAGCACGTTTGCAGCAAAACCAACGCTCTGTCCATTCCCTGATCACTCGCTTAGGAGAGCAGTGGGTGAACAGCAACCCCCGTCTTTCTGCTCACCTAGACCCAAGGTCTGGCGAGTGTAAGGTGAAAGGAGGACTTACACCCCTATGCAGGTGTATAGCCCAAGAGACAGTTAACCCCTTTGGTGAATAAGCTGCTGGTGCTCTGGGTCTGCAGTAATGTAATAGTAAAGCTACCTTGAGATTGCAGTATCTTTGAAAATAGATCATTGCCAGAGCAATCGAATTATATACACTCTAAAATATTAGTGCTTTTGTCAGATAACCTCAATCTGTCTTGTTCATAGAGATTTCTTCACAACATTAATTACAAAAATATAAATAAACAAATTAACATTGACGAGTTGCTGAGCTTGATCAACTTGAAACTTAATCATCAACGTTATCTAATGATTTAATTGCTTTGCTACTGAGACAGATTGTTAATCTTTGTATGTACTAACAATTTTCCCAGTTATTAAAAATTACAAAAAGTAAGTCTGATTGCTGGAGGTATTGAAGGCAGTTTGTTTTTTTGGGGTGTGCTTTTGGTTACAGAGGATGGGGCACCTCACAACTCCAAAACTCACTTATTTTGCCCGCCAAAAAAGGCAAATTAATGCATAGTCATTTAGTTTTGTATATACAAATAAGCTCATCACTTCCATGGTGATAAAGTAGCTTGAGTCATAGCCTGAGATTGGGGAAAATATTGCCCTGTTATCTAGAAAAGCAGAGAAGAAATTTTCCATTTTTGCCCAATGTCATAAGTTGGTAATTTTGGTTGAACTGTTGTAACTAATTTTTCTGCTAACGTATTGCCAGACTACTGGGTCAGCAGAAAACACAGGCCAGTACAGTTGAGTTTTTCACCCAGTTCTCAGTTCCCTCCATGTCTTCCCCGTAGGGAGTTCCCCATCTCTATGGCAACTGGGGACAGACCAGATCTTTGCTCAAAGCCTGGTCTTAAGATCCCCTTCAGG